GTGAGTGCCCGGCATTATTCTTTCTTAAATAATCATAAAAATTACAATTTTTCATGGGAGCTCATTTATACAAAGTGTGTTTAATAAATTAATTAATCAGTTTGTTATGTAGACCCTATGTATTTTAATTTATTGCACAGGATTTACTGATTATTTTGGAATTAGATGTTTATAAAAGGATACTGTTGTGTGATTAATTGTTGTGCTTTCTAAGACGGAGTCGACGTTAAGGTAAATAAACTCGACAAAAAAAAACTGTTCCAAAGGTATGTTTGCATAAATTTTTATATCATTTGAAACATCTTACTTGACTCTATTATACTGTGTATGATGATGGTGTTCAGGCATACAGATTTCAAGAAAAATACAAAAACAGTGTGGTAGTTAATCCTGGTGCTTTCTAAGACGGAGTCGACATTAAGGTAAATAAAACTCGAAAAAAAAATGTTCCAAAGGCATGTTTGCATACATTTTTATATCATTTGAAACATCTTACTTGAATCTATTATACTGTGTATGATGATGGTGATCAGGCATACAGATTTCAAGAAAGAAAAAAACAGCGTGGTGTCCCTGTGCATTTTTGCATACGTATTTGTGACATAAGCCTGGTTCACGTCGAACTTTATCTAGATATACCCGTCTTGAAACATGATACGATAATCCCCTAATTGCGTTCGATGCCAAGTTAGAGCCAGATAAACAGCCAGCCAGTTCAGGCCGTCGACGTCACACGGTGGAAAGGCTTGTTTAATAAAATATCTACTGTATTTTACGAACCTCTAGTACCAAGTGGTATTCGTTCAAAAAAAATTGTAAACTACTGTAGAGAAGGTGTGAGTTTCCACTACTTAACCTAGCCGACCAGTATGAACCAACGACCAGTGCAGCAGCGTGATCTATCGAAATCTAAGTGGTAGATTCTCTAGGCCCTGGCCCTAGCTACATTTACCTTCGATAAAAAACGAATTATTTTAATCGCTAGCTAGCATTCTTCCATTTAACAAAATATTGTTTTAATTTTCATTAAAACGTATGTATACTTTATGGACCTTTCTGTCCTGTTTTGTAGTTTTTAGATCGCTCAATTGTGTTGTTTATATGCACTTTGCGAAAATCTAGCTTCGCGGTGTCAAATAAGTTGCTGACTTCCACACACTTTTTTATTTCGTCATCGTAAACATGTGCGCTCATTTTAACGACTGGCGTTGGTGGTAGTTCATTGAAATTGAATTAATAGCGACTATTATAGCAGAAATAGAAAAGATTGAATTGTCAATAAATAAATACAACAAATCAGATTTTATTATTAAGACAAATATACATTATCACTTTGAAAAACGTATGCAATCGGACTTTTTAACGTTATTACTTGGTCGATGATGCAAAGGGCAAAGGTCATTGGTAATATCGACTATTCGTAAAACGGACGTTTGCTGGGTGTTAACCCAAAATATTACAAATAATTTCTGAAAATCAGACTAATGAGACTACTTCGATATTGTTGAAGTACGTTGTTGCCAGCCAGAAGATGATAATGGTGGTACAATACAACAAAGCTGGCTTAGATGCCTACGTTACGTAATCGTGTCCTTGTAATCCGAGCCGACTTTACCGTTAAGCAAGTTAATTTACCGTTATTCTAGTAAAGTTAAGTCACTTAACTTAAGTGACTTAATTCCTTTAACTAGCTATAATTGAGTGGTTCACGTCGAACTTTTAACTAGTTAAGTGGATGTATATCTAGATAAAAGTTCGACGTGAACCAAGCTATAGTTTTATGTACTTATTAAAACATTGATACAAACCAAAGTTGTCAGTTATTTTATTTGAAACCAGTGTCAAGTATAATCTTAGGTAAGCATGTGGTTAACATAAGCAATAATTTAGTCCAATGAAACTTTTTATCATCTTGATACCTTCCGACGAAATTTGACCCTACCGGCGTCCCCACCGATCGATCTACGTGACGTTGTTATGTGGGTGTTTTATAGATTATTGAGAATGGTAATATCACTGAAACAATAGATACAATTACAGTTGAATGACCTACAAAGACAGCTGAAGACAATAGTTCGTCATTAGAAGTTATTTAGTACTAAACTAAAGATATATCAAACCTGCGTAGGCCTATATACAATCGTTTTTATTCGTTCCATTTTATCGTGAGTTACAAAAACACATTTTTAGTGGGGTAAATTATTCAAGTCGGCGATTTAGCCTGACCCTCTGACTAAAAAAATCGGCCTGCGGAGGTATCATTTTAGTCGAGGTTCGCGTCATTTAGTCGTAGTGCTAGTCGAAATCGTTTTAAGAATACGAAATGACGTAATTTTTAAGTTTTAGCTCGAACTACGACTAAAGTTTGTTTTAA